GAAGATTGCACATGGCGATCGAAACGTCTTAATTGTAAATAAATAAAATAAAATACTACGAAGATAAAGTATATTTTCATGAAATATTAGCAATACAATTTATCTAACTTCGTATAATAAAAAGACCCTATTCAACTCTTAATATGTCAAGCATGCTCCAATATCTTCACGAAAAAGTCTCCATCCTCTTCGATAATTTCACCATATACGTAGTTTTATCTGCTCTTTCGGTTAAGCCTATTTTCAGCGTGAAACTTTGCGAACCAGAGGTCTCAATATGATTAGCAATCAAAAACTGTTAGTGCATGTACCCGAATTGGTCATGGTATTCAGGCGATATTGATCAGAAGAATTCACTTTTTGCTTGAATTTCTTTCAAATTCAGATAGAGATTAAATGTCGAATGGAAACGCGCTAATTGAAATATGTGAAAACAAAATTTCTGACGCACCAATTAATTGAAAATCATATTATTTTTGACAAAAAATGATGAACGTTCAAATACGATGATGTTTGAGATAACCATGACAATATTTGATGAAAACTCAAAATAAACATGACATTCGTGATCAGCGCAATGAGATCCAACAAACTGCATATAAAAAAACAAAATAAAAAATAAAAACTTTTTTCGATCCCTGGGGCCAAAAAAATGAATTGTATTCTTCATCACTAAGGTATCTTTATGGAAGTTATCAGAATGACCGAACCCGGGATTCCCGGGTCCGGGTAGTTCGGCCCCAGGATTTCCCGATCCCGGGTAGTTTGATCTCGGTGCATACCTAATCGTATCGATCTCATCATCACTTTCAACGTTATTACGATAATCACCGTCATCACTATCTTTATCAACTTCATCGTTATCACTCTCATTATCGACTTCAGGTGATGAACACTCACCCATGGCGACGTCTTGATCAAGATTGAATTTGAAATTATCTTTCATTTTACTTGCTTCTGTCAAATGTCTTTTGACCCTGGAGCTGAGATCGTTGAGCTCAAATGTTTGATTTTGTTACAATAATGCTGACATTTCCAAAGTCACTACAAACGTTTGCGCTTGCTTGTAAGCTCTCTGAATAATTTCTTCGACATCAAATGGGCCATCATCGGCTCTTTGTTAGAACGGTGAAGGGTAATCTTTTTGATGCTTGTGATGCACTGGAAACCAATAATATCAGATACAGGAAATTATGGATATTGACCGCTCATGACCGGTACGCAGCCATGATAATAAATATACTTATGTTTGTTTTTATCTGATTTCGGTGTTGTTTTATTCGTGAAGGATTTATTTTTAACCACATTAGCCAAAGTCGGCAGGAGAAAACAGCCGACCAAGAATAATACAAGCGATCCTGAATGAATGTAAATTTATCAATGAAAGATATAATGATATATTTTAATATTTGAAGATGCAAATACGTTGATTGTGTATCCAAATTATCACT